CCTTCATTCCCCTCCACCCTGCACAGCCACTTCCCCCATTCCCATCCTTTAGTTCATGTCCATGTGTCACAAGTTCTTTAGTTTCTACATTTCCCATACTATTCTTGCCCTCCCCTCGTCTGTTTTATACCTACCATCTATGCTACTTATTCTCTGTGTCTCCTCCCCTCTTCTCCTCCCACTCCCCTGTTGCTAACACTCCATGTGATCTCCATTCCTGTGGTTCTGTTCCTGTTCTAGTTGTTTACTTAGTTTGCTTTTGTTTTAGGTGTGGTCGTTAATAACTGTGAGTTTGCTGCCTTTTTACTGTTCATATTTTTAATCTTCTTTTTCTTAGATAAGTCCCCTTAACATTTCATATAATAAGGGCTTGGTGGTGATGAACTCCTTGAACTTGACCTTATCTGAGAAGTACTTTATCTCCCCTTCCATTCTAACTGAAAGCTTTGCTGGATAGAGCAATCTTGGATGTAGGTCCTTGCCTTTCATGACTTGGAATACTTCTTTCCAGCCCCTTTTTGCCTGTAAGGTCTCTTTTGAGAAATCAGCTGACAGTCTGATGGGAAGTCCTTTGTAGGTGACTGTCCCCTTATCTCTTGCTGCTTCTAGAATTCTCTCCTTCATTTTAATCTCGGGTAATGTAATTATGTTTTGCCTTGGTATGTTCCTTCTTGGGTCCACCTTCTTTGGGACTCTCTGAGCTTCCTGGACTTCCTGGAAGTGTAGTTCCCTCACCAGATTGGAGAAGTTCTCCTTTATTATTCAAATAAGTTTTCTACTTGTTGCTTCTCCTCTTCTTTTTCTGGTACTCCTGTAATTTGAATGTTGGAACATTTAAAGATGTCCTGGAGGTTCCTAAGCCTTTCCTCATTTTTTTGAATTCTTGTTTCTTCATCCTTTTCTGGTTGGATCTTTCTTTCTTTCTTTTGGTCCACTCCATTGATTTGAATCCCAGTTTTCTTCTCATCACTATTGGTTCCGTGTGCATTTTCCTTCATTTCACTTAGTGTAGCCTTTATTTTTCATCTAATTTGCAACCAAATTCAACCAGTTCTGTGAGCATTCTGATTATCAGTGCTTTGAACTGTGCATCCTATAGGTTGCCTATCTCTTTGTCTCTTAGTTGTATTTTTTCTGGATCTTCGATCTGTTCTTTTGTTTGGGCCATTTTTTGGTCTTGTTGTGCCTCTTACGTAGTGAGGGACGGAGCCTTAGATGTTCACCAGGGTGGGGCCATCCCCCCTCCTGCCCTGTTGCTGGGTTGTGATGCTGTATGTGGGGGCAGCAGGGTCAGAAAGGGAACAGTGGCACTTGCTCCACTCACTCTTGGATTTCAGTCCCTTCTGCCGCTTCCCAGAAGCAAACTGGGCCCTTCTGGTGCTGGTTCCCAGGTGGGTGGGCTTGTGTACATTCTAGTACTATGTGGGTCTCTCCAACAAACTCTCCTGTGAGGCTGGAAGTCTCTCCCGGCACCTCAACCCCCACAAGTATTTTCAATTGGTGCTTTTAGGCTTTATTTCCTGGTGCTGGGGCCCTGGGTTGTGTGGTCTGTCTTGCTGCCCGTTGTCACCTAGTTTATCGGCATGCAAATATGTGACCGAGGTCAGCCAGCCACCTTGCACACCTCACTGGGTCTGCTCGTTGTCACCCTACACCTGGGGTCTGCCACCCACCACTTTTTTCTGCCACGACCCCTCTTCTCAGGCTGCTGACTCTGCCCTTCTTACGGGTCTGGACCAATGGTTGTCGGACTTTTGTACAGTTAAATTTTCTGTCAGTTCTGGGGTTTTTTTGTTTCTAAATTTTTTGTTGTCCTTAATTTTGGTGGTGTGAGGAGGCACAGTGTGTCTACCTACGTCTGCATCTTGGCTGGAAGTCTGTATCCTTCATTTCTGACAGTCTTTTTTATGCTGCTGCGGGCCTCACTAAGTTCTTTGAGCATCCTTATAACCAATATTTTGAACTCTGAATCTGATAGATTGCTTATATCCATTTTGTTTAGCTCTTTTTCTGGAGTTTTGATCTGTTTTTTCATTTGGGCCATGTTTCTTTGTCTCCTCATTTTGGCAGCCTCCCTGTGTTTGTTTCTATGTATTAGGTAGAGTTTCTTTGACTCTGTGGCTTGGTAGCATGGCCTAATGTAGTAGGTATCCTGTAGAGGTCCAGTGGCACAGCCGCCCCTGTCACCCAAGTTGAGTACTCAAGTTGCACCCTTCCTGTGGGCTGAGTACACTCTTTATAGTTGAGCTTTGGTTGCTGTTGGCAGTCAGTGGGAGGGATTTTTCCAGGCCATCCAGCTGCAAGGACTGGCTGTGACCGCTGACTACTGATCACCAACCTCTGCCCTCCATGGAGGATCAGCTGTGCAGGGGAAGGATGGTGGTGCTCAGACCTGGTTTGTAGCCATCCACTGACTCTAGGATTTCCTGTGTGGTACAGGCCAAGGTCAGCCCCCACCTGTGTTTCACCCCATACACTCTGCCTGAGCTGTAAAACAATCTGAGATGGCTGCTAGTTGTGCTGGGCTTGGAGATTCCCAGATGAATCCAAGCTGTTACTTTAATCTGGCTGCCAGTAGAGCTCACTAAAGTTAGCTGTTGCTTGTTTGGTAGGATTTAGGAGCCAAGATGAGCCATTCTTATGAAAAAGCAGGTTGGATGGGCCTGTAAATTGGATGGGGTAGAGCCTCCAAGATGGGTCACACACTGTTAGCCAAGTGGGTGGAGTCTCAGATATGGCACCAGCCTACTGGCTGTGTTGGGGGACAGCTCAGCAAAAGGACAATGGCCTCTGCTCACCCAGATACCAGACACTTCGGTCTTTCCCTGTGTACCACTGGTACCCATTAAGCTGTCTCTGGGGCTCAGAGCAAGAGAATCTGAGTAGATGAGTCCGTGCGTGGGTTCCCTAAGAGGAAGTACATTGGGCTGTAGCAGCCTCCTCCACTGTCTTAATCTCCACTGGTTTTTGCAGCCAGAAGTTGTGGGGACTTACCTTCTTGGCACTGGAACCCTGGATTAGGGGTCCTGGTAGGATATCCCTCCCAAATTTTATCTACATGAGTGTGAGGCCAGCCTGGTCTGCGTCTGCTCCCCTCCTACCAGTCAGGATAGATATGGTTTCTTCAATTCTGTAGTTGTCAGACTTCCATTCAATTGAATTTTTGACATTCCTGAGTGATGGTTGTTCTATATTTTAGTTATAATTTAGATGTAGTTGTGCAAAGAGGTAAACCACGTCTGCCTATGTCACCATCCTGACCAGAAGCCCTGGTATCCTCTCTTGACAAATTGTTTGGTTATGTGCTTTATCTAGTTTTCTATTAGAAAGGATGTGTATCACTTTTTTCATTTCATTTGTACAGTATTTTATATTTTTTTAAGAGAGATTTAAAAAATATATTTTTAAAGATTTTTAAAAAATTTATTTATCTTTAGAGGGGAAGGGAAGGAGAGAAGGAGAGAAATATCAATGTATGGTTGCCTCTTGTGCATCCCCTGCTGGGACCTGGCCTGAAGCCCAGGCATGTACCCTGACTGGGAATTGAACCGCGATCGTGTGGTTCACAGGCCCGTGGTCAATCCACTGAGCTACACCAGCCAGGGAACGTTTGTACAGTATTTTAGTTAGTGTGGTTTATTCTTTTTGTCTTGATTTATAAGAGTACTTGATTTATATTCATGTTATTAAACTCTTATATTACAGATATTTTAGCCTACATTGTTATTTGCCATTTAGTTTTGTTTACTATTTAAGGGTTCATAAATCTAAAATGTCCATGTAGTCAAGGTAATCTATTTAGGCTTTTCAAACCACTGGGCTGTAAGTGGCTTGTGACTAGAAGCCGGAAGACCCATGGGCGGCCCTTGCATTGCCACAGGGATGGCAGAACAAGGCCTGCAGTCATGGCCAGGCTGGAGAGGATCCAGCTGGGCAGACTTGAGCCAGAGTGAGGAGGTGGCCAAGATGTGGTGACTTGGGTAGGTGAGTGAGGAAGGAGGGGGAGTCTGGGCTGACTCACAGGTTGCTGACCTGGACAACAGAGTGAGCAGGTGGAGGATAAGCCAGCATCAGGAATATAGGAAGGAGGGTGAGGGAGCAGGGGCAGAGATTGTTATATCCACTTTGGGATTGTTGATAGAGGCTCCTGGTGGAGTGAACTTAGTATTTGGATCTCTAGGCCTGGTCTGGTCTCTGTCTTTGTGTCAGGCTCAGAAAGGTTTTTTTCTGTGACACAATTATGTATTCAGCTTAACAATAACCCACAACCGTCGGATCAACTTCACAATTATGTATTCACATAAATTCTCTCATCATTCTTTAAAGCTTTTGATTTTTGTTGTTTTACATTTAACTTCTAGATGAATTTGTGGTATTTTTGTGAAATGTGACAGTTAAGGATTTAATGTCTTTTTTCTGAAGTCACCAATGATTAAAATATCTATTTTTGCCCTCCTGATCTGTGAAAGTACTTATATCTCACAATATGTTTCCATGTCTATCTGGGTGTATTCTGGTCTCTCCGGTTTGTTCCAGTTAATTGTCTTTTTCATCAGGTTTTGATCACATTTACTTTTAATACATCTTAGTAGGTGCTTGGATAAGGTAGATACTTCATCACACTTTTTTTCTCATAATTTTCTTTGTTCTTTTAGAATGGACTTCAATATCATTATGCCAAGCCCTGCTTTGCACAGTGGGAGCTGGAAACAGATGATCATAGTTGAACTTTTTATATTCTTAAGTACCAGACATACCAGCAGCTGGATTTGGTGGGGTTGCACTTTCTTTTTGGTACAGACATCACATGGCCTATTAGGAAGAAGCCCCTCACTTCCATTGACCTGCACTAGGGGCATGCCCCAGACTCTGGCCCAGACAGTCCTTGGACCCCCAGAACCCCTATGTCCATACTGCTATGGCTGCTACAGCATCAGCCAGGTGCTCCCCATTGTGACCTAGTCAGGCTATACTGAGAATTTTTCTTGTTCATTTCATAGGAGACCCTGCCTCCAGCCAGTGTTTTCTCTAAGCCTGTTCTCCTCTAAGGATTTCCTGTTGGTGAGTTCTAGAGATTTTTTTTCTTACTCTGTTCTTAAATGTGTTATTCAAGAAAGAATTCTTCATAATTTCCAGCCTTGTGAGGGCTTTTTCCTAGTTGCTTTTCTGCATGCATGTTTTCCCTATGTCACATTTGTTAGGTTCTTTATTATTTAAGTGACTTTTTCTGGATATTTTTCATTGAGGAGTAGCAAACATACAGTGAAATCACAAACCCTAAGTATCCATCTCAGTAATTTTTACATACATATACACTGTATAACTACCACCCTGATTAAGATGTTTCTTTTAGAGTTAAAAAGCTCTGGGTGGGAGATTGGGTGGAGAAGGAAATTGTGAGTATGTCCCCAAGCTGCCATCTTTTTCTAGAACTGTCTCTAAAGGGTGTTAAGGAGGGAGCCAAATGTCAAGTCTTTACAGTGGTATGGGGAACAGAATAATTAGGAGAGGTGGGTCATGTTCCAATCCTCCCTCCTACTGGCCATGGGACTTTTGTGCCTCAGTTGTAACAGCTGTAAAATGGGAGTAGATAGATGATAGTTCCTACCTCACAGGGTTGTCATGAAGGTTACTTGAGGCAGTACATGTAAGTGCACAAAAAATGTTAATTGTTATTTTTGTTGTTATTAATAATGAGGAGGAGGAGGAGGCAGTGGTTCTTAATGAAGGGTGTGAATCAGAATCACCTGGGGCACTTTTGCAAAATATACATGCTCAACCTGGCCAGATGTACTGAGTCACAATCTAGATTTCAAACTCCTCTGTGGGTCAGTCTGTTGCTTATTCATGGTTAAGAATCACTAGGCTGTAGGTGGCTGTGACTAGCCCCTGTGGCAGTTAAGGCTAGAGGGGATGGAGCAGGGTAGATTCAAGGTAGAGTGGAGAAGTGGCCAACTTTGAGTGGGGGAGCAAGGAAGTGAGGAGAATAGTCTGGGGTGACTCACAGGGTTGACTTTGAGTGGGGGAGCAAGGAAGTGAGGAGAATAGTCTGGGGTGACTCACAGGGTGCTGACCTGGACAATAGACCGAGCAGGTGAAGGATGAGCCAGAATGGGAGGAGCAGCAGGCCAGAGGTTCTCTTTGGGATTGTTGAGTGGAGGCTGCTGGTAGAAATAAGTTAGTATTTAGATCTCAAGGCCTAGGCCTATGGTGTTTTTCAGGGAGTCATTGGTATGAAGGAGATGGATTTATTGGGCCTGGTTATTGAGCGAATGTAGAGGACAAAAGAGGGCCAAGTTCACAAGTGTCCATCTTACAAACCTTCATTCATTTCTTATTCACTCTGTAGAAATAGAAAAATGCTTGTTTCTCTGAGGACCATGGGGGAATGAACTCAGTCTTCTTATTTGAAGATGAACACCAACAGTGGGTCATTTCCTTTCTTCATAGGACTCACAGTTTTCCACATCTTCTGATGGAGGAGCTTAACCTTTATCCATCAGTATCTTCTGATGGGACACTCTTAGGGGCAGTTTCTTATTTTCCAACACCCTTTCACCCCCCGCACTTCACATGCTGTTATACATACTCAGCCTCTGGTGGGTGGTTTCTTACATTCTTACTGTCTTCAGGCCCTTGAGATCAACTAGTTACTCTTTGGTAAGAATTTAAGCCACTTCAATACCTTTTCCAGAAACATTTGCACTTAGAATGACAGATGTAATGGGAATAATGGAAGATGTTGCCTCCCTGAGGGAAGGTGAACCTGGAATGAATTATTCATTTGCTCATTCTAGGACATCCCTGTCCAGTAAACCTTTCTGCACTGATGGAAATGTTTTTCTATGCCATCCAATAGAATAGCCACTAGTAGCTATTGAGTATTTGAAATGTGGCTAGTGTAATTGAGGAACTAGATTTTTCATTTTAATTAAAAGTTAAATTTAAATTGACAAAAGAAAAGCAGACCCTGTTAGGTTGCATTCCCTGAATCAATGAGAAATAGGGACATTAGGCCTGATACCCCATTCAACTGCCCTGCTACTAAGTATCCCCCAAAGGTAATTTTGAAAATGGATCTTTTAAATCAAATAGGCTTTCCTTCTCTTACCTCTCTAGCTGTGGCCCCTCCTTTGTTTGCCTTCCCAGAGAAGGGTGGTGTCAACAGGGGTCCCTCACAGGCTTCTCCTGGCTCTTGTTTGCCCCATGTCTTCTTCCACAGGAAAGACAGTACTTATGCCTTTCCTTCTGCCCTGCCACCCCCTCTCCTTATTTCTGCTCATGTCACAGCAAACCCCACTTCCAAGAAGGCTTCCCTGACTCCTGTGCCTTCCAGGTGAGGCAGTTTTAGGGCCCTGAACAGATTCCTTTTGGCTTCCCAGTCAGTGATGAAGGTGGCAGTGATGGATCTCAGGAAGATGTTGCTGCAGGATGGATGGGTGTCAGTTCACTACATTTCAGACTTCCCTGCCAACCACTCCCAGGGAAAAATGCATCTCATGTCCCAACCGCCACACACACCTGTACACTAATACATAAAACCAAAGCAAATGTGTGTAAAAACAGTACCTCACTATAAGTGATGCACGTGGATACTTTCTGTTCTGTTCTATTTATTTTTTTAAAGAAAAATGTTGGTTGTGACCCACTAAACTGATTTCATTACTTGGTAATGGATCACAATGTACAGAGTGAAAAATGCAGAGTGAGATCATTGCTGTTCAGAACAACAATGGCCCTGTCCAGACGTTGCCCTCTGAGTCCCTTGAAGAGCTGGTAGATGGTGATTCCAGCAGCTGTGTGCTCCTGGTGGCAATCTACCTGGCGATGTTTTGTTCTCTCCATGGAGTCTCCTTTCAGGGACCCGGTCAGTTGTGCCATGAAGTGGCCATGGTCACAGATGATGTCTCATGTTGTGGAAGGCAATTGAAAGTTTCTAAAGTACTTCAGACACCTGAGAGAAAGATGTCAGGTCCCTTTCAGGTGCCACAGGACAGAGTATCTCAGCCCTCTTGATGAAGCTCCCAGGCCTAGCAGGCAGGGCTCACCAGCTGACCTGTGGGGCTAAGAATAACAGAGAAAGGAAGAATAAGACATGGAGCTCCTGCGTGTAGCATCACAATAGAGACATCTGATCACCCAGAAGATGGATGATAAATATTGTGCATAGAAGGAACATTCCAGGGGGGAATAAGTCTGAGCCCTGTTTTCCTTTTGAACTTTAGTCCTGAACTGGGTGTTACTGAGAACAAAATCTGCAGAAATAGGTACAATCCAATCCCTGCATCTAAACCCAGTGTTTTACTCCTCTGAGGGCCTCCAACTCTGTTGCCATTTATTAGCATACTATTCTAATGAGAGTAGCACTCTGATTTCCCAACACACTACCCGAAAAAAGAAATGGCCTGGGATGGTGGTGGTGGTAGTTAGTTTTTAGAGATGGATGCATAGATAAGAGGAACAATAAGAAGGAAACACTGTCGGGTTATTTTCTAGTTCCGTAGGGAATGTCAATAACAATGACCACCGCAGTGGAAAAGGATTTTTTTTTTTTTTTTAGTATCAGGGAACCATGGGACAGATTGTAGCAAGATTTCTCTTAAAGATTTCTCTTTAAGTTTCTCTTAAAACACCTGGCTGGTGTAGCTCATTGGATTGAGCACGGGCCTGCAAACTGAAAGATTGCAGGTTTGATTCCCAGTTAGGGCACATGCCTGAGTTTCAGGCCAGGTCCCTCGTGAGGGACTCATGAGAGGCAACCACACATTGATGTTTCTGTCCCTCTCTTTATCTCTCCCTTCCCCTCTTTCTAAAGATAAATAAATAAAATCTAAAAAAATAAATAAAGTGTGTAAAACAGTGTTTTTGCTATTGAAGTTTCTCTGTTCACTAATTCATGGCAGCCTCAGTGATTCTAGATAAATTCGATGCTATTGAATTGCTTCTGATTAGGGCTAGTCATACCTTCATGGGTTTGAAGCATGCTGTGATTTCAGGTAATGGGCAAGATCTCCCACTCCCACCCCCACATGCCCTAGTCTGCCTCACAGCCTAAAACTCCTCCATTGTAGATGGAGTCCTATGTTTGACAGTGTGATTTGTGAATCAGTCCTTTCCAGTCTGAAAGCCTGTTGATAGTGGTTCCCGAATGCACTGAAGATAGGTGTAGAGAGGGAACTCTGAGCTGGACACACCCTGGGGTGGCATGCCTGGGTGGTGTGGCCTAAATGACCAGAGGGCAGGACAAAGCCACTGAGTGTTTGGACAGGGGTGGGTTTTTAAAGAGCCATTGGGGGATGGGCTGGGCTGGGAGGAGGAATTCTACCCTCCTCACTGCATTGCCTGAGGTGGCCCACTCACTGAGGCAGGGACAGGTGTCCCTTTCTTTGGTAGTCCTGTCCTGGCTCCCTGGTCACTGGATCTACACGTCTGCTTCTGTGAGTCACCTCAGGTGACAGCAGGGGTGTTCCAGTCAGTGAGGAGAGTTTAAAGAAAAGCCAGGTATTTCTGAGACAAGAATTATTTCACACCATCTGAGAAAGCAAGTGTTAAGTCGGAGGCAGTGGGGCCCAGAGATGTGTCACAGCAGGAGGCTTCTGTCTTAACATATTACTATATAGTAGTCATGAATAATACCTTACACATCCTATCATTGGTATTTGCAAATGTTGTTTTGATTACAAAGTGATGAAACCAGTTCTCCTAATGGGCCAAAATAAGAATATTAAACTAAGGTACATTATCAAAGATCTGTGAAAAGATTTCAGAGGTTTGCATAGCCATTCCCCCAAGGCCAGAAATGGAGATGGCTTGGTCAAGTGGTGGTTCTAAGAAGCTGTCTAACAGAATTATTTTCTTCAGTAGGAATATAAGAATGTGAGGGGTAAAGAAAAACCATCCAACCTTAAGCATTGTAACTAGTCGAAGTTAGATTCTGATGATGAAGCCACAAATGATTTTAATGAGGGGGGGTGTCAAAAGAAGAAGACAAAGGGGCTTAGATTTTCAATAATTCTGCTGGTTTTTCACATGCATGGGATACCTGGTGTGAAACACACTCA